CCCATTCACACAAAAATAATATTGTTAGAAATGTTAAAATGTGAAAAGTTTTGATCGATCCTTTAAAAGAATTCTCTGCTTTATTTACAGGTTGGAAATGCCACAAAGTCACTCAGGATACTGCATGTGTCATTAAACATACTTGATCGGTACCAGTTTTCTTTCACACTGAAATTAGGAGTGGACTGACCGAGAGCGACGGTCTCCACAGTGTTAGCCTTAAAGCTGATTGAAACATAAGCTAGCTGGAGTTGGGGGTGTCAGTCAGAGCTGCTCCCAGTCCACAGAGCACCAGCCCCTCACTGATCCTCCTGCAGGTGCTGAGTCCACAGGAGCTGAGATCTTTCAGAGGGGGCTTCAGGCAAAGTGGGGTTAAGTGTCTTGCCCAAGGACACAACGGCAGCAGTCATCAGTGGGAGTCGTGAAGTAGGTCTCATGGTGTCAAAGGCCAATGCTCTACCAACGTTTACATTTCCCCAGATCCAAAGGTTAAATCCTATCGTCATGTTCCATCCATCCATGTTCCTCCACTTTATCCGTTGCCGGGCGGTGGGAGCAGCAGTCGAAGCAGAGACGCCCAGACTTCTCTATCGTCATGTGCTTTTAACTTGTCCTATCGTCATGTTGAAAAGAGAAAATGCAGATTGTGTTGGATGTGGCTGCGAGGAGAGAGAGAAGCGTCAGAGTTTCCATTGGGTCAGACTGCTCCGGGTGGAGAGGGTTTGGACAGTTGTTTTTGGACGCACACATCGCAGACTGCAGAAACAAACCAGCTCAAGCTCAACAAGCGGTTGTTTACACTGCAAAAAGTGATGAATAATAAACAAAATTAAAAAACTCAAATTTGGCTAATCTAAAATTGAGCACATTCAGACTGTTTTCAAACCAGATTTACCAATGGGACAACGCAAAATGATCTAGTAGTAGTAGTTCATTTTCTTCGGGTAATATGTACATTAGATCTCATTTATCAATAAGAAAAAAAATATAACTAAATTGTGTTTATTAATCATTTTAGTGCGAAATAATGCCTGGCCGTTTTCTTGTACATTTATTGTTTTGAAAATATACAAGAAATGTCTCCCTTGGAATGACAAAATATTTACAGTTCTTGAGCACAGGGACTAGCCTCCTGCTGGGACTCTGAGGAGCAAAGGGACTGGCCTCCTGCTGGGACTCTGAGGAGCAAAGGGACTGGCCTCCTGATGGGTCTCTGAGGAGCACAGGGACTGGCCTCCTGCTGGGACTCTGAGGAGCACAGGGACTGGCCTCCTGCTGGGACTCTGAGGAGCAAAGGGACTGGCCTCCTGCTGGGACTCTGAGGAGCACAGGGACTGGCCTCCTGCTGGAACTCTGAGGAGCACAGGGACTGGCCTCCTGCTGGGACTCGGAGGAGCACAGGGACTGTCCTCCTGCTGGTCCCAGAGTCATAACCAAACATGGGGAGGCAGCATTTCAGATTCATGCAGCTAAAATCTGGAACAGTCTTCCTGAACATGTGAGACAGGCTTCTTCTCTGAAAATGTTCAAACCCAGATTAAAAACTGTCTAGCTCTGCAGACAACTGAGGGATTTTATATTTACTCTTTTTATCCATCCATCCATCCATTTTCTTCCGCTTTATCCGTTGCCGGGTCGCGGGGGCAGCAGTCTAAGCAGAGACGCCCAGACTTCCCTATCCACACACACTTCCTCCAGCTCGTCCGGGGGGACCCCAAGGCGTTCCCAGGCCAGCTGAGAGACATAGTCTCTCCAGCGTGTCCTAGGTCTTCCGCGGGGCCTCCTCCCGGTGGGACGTGCCCGGAACACCTCCCCAGGGAGGCGTCCAGGAGGCATCCGGAGCAGATGCCCGAGCCACCTCAACTGGTTCCTCTCGACGTGGAGAAGCAGCGGCTCTACTCCGAGCTCCTCCCGTGTGACCGAGCTCCTCACCCTATCTCTAAGGGAGCGCCCAGCCACTCTGCGGAGGAAGCTCATTTCGACCGCTTGTATCCGCGATCTCGTTCTTTCGGTCATTACCCAAAGCTCATGACCATAGGTGAGGGAGGGAACGAAGATTGACCGGTAAATCGAGAGCTTTGCCTTTCGGCTCAACTCCCTCTTTACCACAACAGTCCGATACAGCGACCGCATCACTGCGCACGCTGCACCGATCCGCCTGTCAATCTCACGCTCCATTCTTCCCTCACTCATGAACAAGACCCCGAGATACTTGAACTCCTCCACTTGAGGAAGGACCTCTCCACCCACCTGCAGAGGGCAAGGCACCTTTTTCCGGTCTCAGGTGACGAGTCAGACGAAGAGCGGTCCAAAAACCACCATGGACAGCACGATAAATAGAACAGTGACGTCGCCCGGCATGGCGCAGCCGGGGCCCCACCCTGGAGCCAGGCCTGGGGTCGGGACTCTTTTTAATGAACTGAGATTATTTCAATGCCTTGTGTGATTGTTGCGATCTTGTGTTGAGTTTCCTTGTGTATGAACTGAGCTGTACAAATAAACTGGCCTTGCTTTGCCTCGAGGTCACTCACAGTTTGCCAAAATCTCAACTCTCCTTCCACATAAAAAGCTTCATATGTGCCTTTAAACTATCGCAAAGAATGGCTCTCTTTCTGAACCATCATTTCTCTTTTCTTTCATGCCTAACATTATGTCACGGGTTCTTCGTCACAAGATATGATTTATGTAAAGCTGAGTCCGAGCCCCCGCTGTAGGACCAGGCACAGCGGCTTCAAACACACACACACACACGCACACACACACACACTCATCAGGTCCTTAAAGAGAACAGCGTGTGCCTCCTCACATCTGGCTCCGCGCCTGAACTCCAGATGTTTCCAGATCTCACTATTTCTACAAAACTCCAAAACCACTTCTCAGTCGCAACGATGCAGAAAATGATCAAAAGTGAGTTAGTAATTGCTTGAATTGAGAGGTTTTAATCTTAATTTGAGTTCATTCTGACTGTGTTAAAACATCTCTCCACTAGGACGAAGCTTTTTAGAATTGTTGCTATATTTTCTCATTCCAAGGGAGACATTTCTGTATCTTTTTTAAACAAGATTGTTTTTGCTCATCGTCCCGTTGGCAAATCTTGTTTTAAGGCTCAGTCAGAATGTTCTAAAATTAAGGTACATGTTGCCAAATTTGAGAAATAGACTGGTTCACTTCCTGTTTTTAAGTCTTGTTTTAAAACTCACTGGTTCTTATTGGTTTTTAACAGCTTTTGGATTGTGTTTTATTTTTTTGTAAATTGTGTGTGTTTTTTTTTGTTGTTGTGCCTTTTGCCTTTATTGTTTTAACTGTTAAATAAACTGGACTGGACTCAACAAAAGTGAAGAAAAATAAGTAGAAAACGTTGGAAAAATGTATCTCAATTTTGTTACATTTTCACTGAGCCTGACATTAGAATATATTCTAATATTTAATTATAATTTATTATAGAGCTCCTCAAAGCAGCAGCACTCCATTGACTTTAATGCAATTCTTCCGGTCATTTTTTCTTGATAACAGAACTCTCAAACCAATAATGACCGCAGCCCCAATGCAATCTCTGTTTGTAATTCAGGTGTGTAAAATACTAATATTACTCTGCAAGTACAACAAGCTTTAAGCGCCTGTCACTACATTGTGCAGTTTTTCTGCACACTTGTCTGTGTAGAGAAGCTAGTGGAGCTAGCCACGCTCAATAAACAAATAAATATCTATCAATCAACACCATTAAACGTCAATCGGACAATACAGTACACATATACATCCTTAACACACATGCACGGACAATTTCAGAATTTGCTGTTAACGTTTTCATGACAAAAATACTGTTTTAAAGTAACAAAAAGCGATCGCGTAAAACCCGGAAGTTACCATGAAACAGCTAGCTAGCTTAGCTGTTACCTGCCTAGCACGTCCCGGTGAAACCTTTGGGAGCTAAATATTTTATTTTCAGTCAATAAATACATTTTGAATTATAAGGGTTGTCTAATTTTAAGCAGCTATGTTAAGCAGCGCTGTAGAGGCTAGAGGACGCAGGCTGTTCGCTGCTCGTTCTGTGAGTGGAGGAGAACGTCCCGCTCAGACTCTACTCAGCACTTTTCACTGCATACATTTCATACACAGCTGAATCAATGACCTCAAGTTTTCAATTAAATTATGTATTATGATACAACTTGTATGTAGTAAAAAGCATTTTTATGAAGTACTTAGAAAAAAAATTGGGTATAGCTTCTTTAAAAAAATTATCTTGTTTTAAAAAGATGCACAAAATATCTCCCTTGGAATGAGAAAATAAAGCAACAGTTACTGAGCCAAAATCACTTTGTCCCATTGGAGAATCTTGATTATTATAACCTCATATCTCATCAGTTTTTTCAGTGCATTGTGCGAGGGTTGGGTGTGTTTGAAGCAGCTGTGGTTGAATGTCAGCTCTCTGGTCTCTGGTCTCTGGTCTCTGGTCTCTGGTCTCTGGTCTCTGGTCTGTGGTCTGTGGTCAGAAGCGTGAGGCGCACACAGCGTGGAGTCCTGACTTTAAATTCTGTTCGTTATGTTTTTAGAACGTTGGCCAAAAACAGTGTGAAGCTTTAACGTCACAGTGAGTGGGTCAGAAAGTCACCTCTCTCATAAAGCCAGATTCTGTCAGAACTGTAAAGCTAAGCAAGGCAGGTCCTGGTTAGCACTGTGATGGGAGACCTCTGGGAACACCAGGTGCAACAGGGGGGCGGCTGTTGCTGCCGTTTTGTTCTTAGGCAAGACACTTCACCCACAATAGGATGAGTCTGGTGTGTGTGTGAATGGTTGGTGCCTCGCTTCTGTCAGTGTGCCCCAGGGCAGTTGTGGCTACAGTAGTAGTTTATCACCAGTGTGTATTGAGTGAATGAATAATGACAAGTGAAGCGTGTTTGAGTGTCCACAGATGTATTATTACAGTTTTAAGGGGTTCCACATGTTACAGTATATACTTTTAAATAAATGATATATAAAAGTTAGTTTTGTGTGACGCTCACCGTGGATGTGGTTGGCCTCCAGGTACAGGTGCAGCAGGCTGGTGGGCACGGTGGGAGTGGTGGTCAGTCGGTTGTAGGACAGGTCCAGCTCGATGAGGCTGGAGACGTTGAAGGCTTCAGGGTGAATGTTGGGGCTGCGGAGAGAGCAGTGTCCCAGGCGCAGGTACTGGAGCTGAGGGCACGTGCTGAAGCTCTCCTCCTCCACAGACGACAGGCTGTTGTTGGAAAGATACAGCTGCTGCACGGACTCGGGCAGGTGCTTCGGGACGGACGTAAACTGGTTTCCACTCAGGTCCAGAAGACTCAGGCCTGACAGACCTACGACAACAAACGGGGAACTTGAAATGACCAGATACTTTTATAGACGTTTACTTTATCTCACTTTTTACAGTCACTACAACACGGTTCACCTTTAGCGCCTTTTTGTGTGAGCAATTGGACAGGCTTATTTACAGCGTGCTTTTCATGCGGCACGTTTATGCTCCAACAACATCATATACTTTTGAATAGAAACTGCAGCGAGTCCTAAGTTGCTCTAAAACAGTTTTTATTTTGGTGTTTTACCTCATTATTTTTCTAGCTGTTAATGTTCCTGCAGTACAGTGTTCATGATTTTAGTTGTAATGTTTATTTATATGGCGCATTTGACGGACCAAGGTCACCCAAAGCACTTTACAATGATCAGAGTTCAGATATTTTTCCGCTCACACACGGTGATGACAGAAGCGAACACACATGTTTTTATTGGTAAGGGAAACCGTAGCGCCCAGAGGAAACCTGCGCAGGCATGAGAAGAACATGTAAACTCCTCTCAGAAAGGCCCTGTTCTGACCAGGATTTGATCCCAGAACCGTCTTGCTGAAAAGCCACCATGCTAACCAGAGCAGAGAGGATTCACGGCCCCAACCAAGCAGATCAAGCTAAAATCCACTGGAGGAATGATTTTTTTTTTTTTTATGCTAAGAAAGCATTCAGAATTTCACTCTGAACCAGAGCGGAGAAAATGATTCAAACCAAGCAGACTGCAGACATCAACCAGCAGCTACACCACCTTCTGCTGCTGCTGCACTTAATAACTATTGGTAGTCACTTCTAGAACAAGGTATTTATTTTCATTTGGACACCTGCATTTCTCCTACAGGGATCAATAAAGTATCTATCTCTCTCTCCCACGTCTATCTATCTCTCATCTCTATCTTTCTATCTAAGTAAGAAAGTAAGTAATATTTTTTATATAGTGCCTCTCATAGACCAGAGTCCCCAAGCGCTGAACAATATTTGGGTTTTTTAGGCCTTTTTCCTCTCTCTCCACACAGAGGGTCCACACAGAGGGTCCCCACATTGGGTCGCTAGTACAGAAGGCGCATGTCAGAACTATTGTACATGATTATTGTGGTAGGGGAAACCGGAGCACCTGGAGGAAACCCTCACATCTTCTTTAAAAAAAAAAATCTTGTTTTTATCTATTTAGTAAGAAATGTGTAAAATGAAATGTAACGGACCAAACCACTGGACCTCTGACATCTGCCTGTTAGGCCCGTACCTGCGAAGTCTCCCTGGGACACGGTCTTGATCCGGTTCCCCTGTAGCAGCAGCACGGTGAGTCGATGCAGGGCAGAGAAGGCTGCGGCTGGGATGGAGCTGATGCGGTTATGCGCCAGTCTGAGCTGCCGCAGACCCCCAGGCAGACCCCCGGGAACAGACTGCAGGAGGTTGTGGTTGGCAAACAGGTTCCACAGCTCGCTCTGGTCCCGGAGCAGGTCCTGGTCTAGGGCCTCGAGGAGGTTGTGGTCCAGAATGATCCAGCGCAGAGCAGTGACGTTAGAGAAGAACGAAGAGGAAAGAGAAGAGATGTTGTTGCCCTGGAAACATAAACATTTATTTTTCTGTTGCGGGTGAAAGTTTTAAAATGTCTTTGCAACCAGCCCAAAAATCTCTCAAAGTCCGTGATCCGGGTTGCCAACTCACCGCGTGGAGCTAATCTCACTGGTAAAGTACCATGTGGCGCAGAACTAAAAAAGGTCTCGTTATGATTCTCAAATCATTAACGACAAAACAAGGAATAAAACCAGGATTTCTATCTTTGTGAAAAAGGTGTTGGTTATAGATTTGTTGTTGACTAAACTCTTGTCTATTCAGCTGTTATGGTGCCAGCTGGATTCGTCTGCATATCTGGCAACCTGAGTCAGGGAGAGTGGGAGAGGCTGCAGTACCATAGATTTTCACATACTGCTCCTTTAAGGCTCTGTCAGAATGTTCTCAAATTAAGATACCTTTTTTCAAATTTGAGCAATTGTTGACTTATTTTTCAGCACATTTTTCTTTGCCGTGTATAAGATTTTTGTTCATGTTTGTTCATGCTGCACAAATGATGTGTGTAATACAAATATATAAAACATAAAAAATAAATAGATCATAAACAATTGAATAATGAATAAATTTTCTGTTGTGTTTCTTGTCGTGCTGCTGAAATGGCCTGAACTACCTTAAGCAGAATTATTCACATTAAAATTTACCTTTTTATCTGCAAAATATCAAACATATTCAACACCATTTATGGACATTGGTCTCTGCCCCATGCGGACCAATGGCTCTATGTGTTTTTAATCTGTTTTAGAGATTGTATACTTGCTTCTTTATTATGCTAAAGTTAGAGATTTCATTTAATATTAGCATAGATGTATTATGTATTTATCTTGTGTTCCTTGTATCTACTGAGGATCCCTGGCTGCGTCTCTGCCCCTACCTGTAGAAAGAGGTACTGCATCTCTCCGGGCAGAGCGTCCGGGGCGCTGGCGAGGCCCCTGTGGTCGCAGTAGAGAGCGGTGGGCCACTGGATGGGGCAGTCGCACGGAGCGGGACAGGGCTGGGGGTTGGTGGCTCGGAACCAGGACGGATCCACGCTCCGACCCTGGAGACTCATCACGCTCGGCTCTCCCAGGGCACGGTCGATCCACAGAGGGACGCCCCCGTAGTCCAGGTCCTCTGCCGGGGTGGCCCAGGCGGAACCCGGTAGGAGGCCCAGCACCAGACACAACCAGGGACCCATCAAGAACCTGGAAGAATGTTTAAAGAAAGTGTTATAATCATTTCAACCATTTATCATTGTTTAAGTTTAATTCCTGTTTTATTTTGTAATATCCTGTACTTCCTGTCTTCTTCAGTTGAACTTCCTGTTGTCTGATTACATGCCCCGCCCTCATGTGTCTCACTTGTGTCATGTTTGTCTTGTGTGTTCCTTCACTTCCTGTTCCGTCATTGTCATTCCTCGTCGGTTTCAATTCTTGTCCTTGTTTCCGGTGACTTTTTGTGATGTTTTTGCTAAATCTTGATTAGCATTACTTTTATATTCAATCCATTATTTTGAAGTTTTGCGTCTCCTTGTTTTTCAGCCACGTGACAATTTTGTCCATAGGGTCACTCTCAATTGGACCTAAACGTCTTACACTTTTGTTGATCAATTTCAGCTTGTATAACACTGGGGATTTTTGAACATGTACTCATACGGTGGTTTTACTTCAAAGGGCAAATAAAATGCATATCTGTCTCTTTTGACATTTTTACCTTTAAATCCGACTATGATCATACAATGTCTTCATTACATAACGAATGGAAGCAAAAACAGTGGGCCAACAATGGAACCCTGTGGAACACCAACTGGGGAAACTCTATGAGAGGTTTTGGAGAGCTCCGTGTTGAAATCTCTATCACTGAAGTTGCTCATGAATCATTCTTAAACTGCACCTGAGAGTCCCACCCAGCGGTACAGCAGGGTCTGAGGACACTTCATTTAGGAATATACACAAATACATTGAAGTGAGTTGAAATGAAAGCTGTGATCAACCGTGTTAAATACCAAACTCGAACTGACCTCTTTGTAAAGTCCTGAATTTATTGGCTGTGGAAAAGATTGAAGACATTGAATTGGAACTAAAAAGAACTAAAATGCATTCCTTGTCAGTGATGTAGAGTGATCTGACTTCTTTACCATGAAGAAATCCTTTACTCATCCCACAAATGTCAGTGTTTACAGTTGGTTAAAAATCAGTATCATGTGTCCAAGCTTTTCCTTTCCGTGGCTCTTTTGTTTGATCCAGTTGAACGCATCAAAAACATGTGAACTGGTCTACGACTTCAGTCGCAATAGTTCTCATTTGCCTGTCGTAATCGACAACTCCCAGGTGCAGATCGTAGAGGAGTGCAAGTTTCTGGGTTTAACTCTGTCTAACCTGAAATGGGTTAAAAACACTGACCGAGTCGTTAAGAAAGCTCGTCAGCGTCTCTACTTCGTGCGTAAACTTAGAGAATTTACCACTAACTCTAAAATTCTGCTTAACTTTTATCGCTGCACCATTGAGAGTTTACTTGTTGGTTCTGTGTCTGTGTGGTTTGGAAACATCACAGATAAAGAAAAGAGAGCTTTAAACATGGTGCTCCGCTCTGCAAAGAGGACCGTGGGCTGTGAGCTTCCTGTTCTGGAGGTTCTTTATAAATCCAGACTTTTAAACAAAGCTCTTAGGATTGTCAATGACTCTTCTGGCCACCCTGGGAAAGCCATGTTCCAGCTTCTTCCCTCTGGCAGAAGATATCGCTCTCTGAGATGCAGGACATCTCGTTACGCTAACAGTTTTTATCCACAGGCTGTTATCAGTGTGAACAGAGCACTTTAATGATTTGCACTTGTTTTGAAACTGTTTTAGTCGATCGATTTCACAGTGACATTTGTTTACTGTTTTATTTGTTTTATTTCTGTCTTTTAATGTTGTTTTATGTCTGTATTTGTCTGTGCACACTGGAGACTTTTGCTAATGTATTCCAATGTGGTTGTTTTACTGCAAATGGCAAATAAACTGAATCTGAATCTGATTTATATTTATATCCTGCAGTGAATACCTGGTGCCACAGGGGGGCAGCATTAGCTCAGAGCAAACAGAGCAAATACTGCAATTTCAGAAAGTCCATAGAATGTCACTTTATCTACTCATTATCCTGCCTTATATGTACTGTATATAACTTACTCATATGAAGCATTTCCAGCTCGTTATGAAGCATTACAGCTACTTATAGAACTACAGCTCCATATATTTTGTGTGCTCTTAGTATTGTCCTGTATCTGCGCTGCAACACTGACATTTCCCCTCTGTGGGACAAGTAAAGGTTCTCTGATCGTACACGTTCTAAGACAAGACCTCTCTTTGCCTTTTGAGCAAATGAACCGTTTTTGTTTTCTTCAGAGTTCAGCGTGTCGTAGCACGTTTATTTCGGTCTTTAACCAACACAAGCTACACATCATTTTAAAGCTTATTTTCTCCTCTACATTAATATAAAAGTGCAGGCCTTACCAGACTTCACACTGAAAAGATATAACGCATAATATGGGCACAAAAACAAAGAATTCTCAATGCTTTTCTCACCTTTGGACTTGTGCTGTGTCTGTGATATTCATAAAGTATAACAAACTAAAGCTAACTTACAGAAAGAATAACATTGACACACATTACCTTGTATAGATTTGGAATCATAAATAATGCCCAAAAGTGAAATGCATCTTGTAGTGTCTCCATTCACTATTCTATACAAACGCATATTGTCAAAATGGTCAGTGTTAAGAAACGACAAGATAAACTTTATTGATCTCTGATGGAGAAATGTACTCGTCACATTCGGCACAAACAGAGTTTCTGAGATTTGTGCAAAAGACAGAAGTGTGAAACATGTTAAAGGTTAAAAATAATGTCTGTGCAGGATATAATTATGTACAAAAATGTATGTACTGGTTTTTTTCAGTCCTGGTGCATTAGTGTCTTAAAGTGACTTATCGTACAGTCTGACAGCGGTGGGGATGAAGGTGTTAAGTCTTTTCTTAAGCTAAAACGTAACTTATTATTTAGAAGTCAGATCTACAGTTTTACTTTCTGAATCTAGCTTCAACCTGTTTCTTATTTTTATACTTGTGGCCACAGCTGAAAAGATTCAGGTCACATTGATTCTAACAGCTGAAAACTCTTAGTCCAACTGTGCTGCATCACTTTGACACGCACACACACACACATACAGTATATAGAGACACACACACACAGACACACACATATAGACACACCTACACACTCACACGCATAGAGACACATGCACACACACACACAGTATATAGAGACACACACACACATATGGACACATACATATGGAGACACACACACACTCACATATAAAAACACACATATAGACACACACACACTCACATATAAAAACACACATAGAGACACATGCACACACACACAAGCACACACGTATGGAGACACACACACACTCACATATAAACACACACATATAGAGACACACACACATATACACACTCACACACATAGAGACACACACACACACACATATAGACACACACATACACTCTCACACACATAGTGACACATGCACACACACAAGCACACACATATAGAGACACACACACACACAACACATATAGACACACACTCACATATAAAAACACACATAGAGACACATGCACACACACACAAGCACACACATATGGAGACACACACACACTCACATATAAACACACACATATAGAGACACACACATATACACACTCACACACATAGAGACACACACACATATAGACACACACATACACTCACACACATAGAGACACATGCACACACACAAGCACACACATATAGAGACACACACACACACAACACATATAGACACACACTCACATATAAAAACACACATAGAGACACATGCACACACACACAAGCACACACATATGGAGACACACACACACTCACATATAAACACACACATATAGAGACACACACATATACACACTCACACACATAGAGACACACACACATATAGACACACACATACACTCACACACATAGAGACACATGCACACACACAAGCACACACATATGGAGACATACACACACTCACATATAGACACACACATACACACATACAAGCACACACATATAGAGACACACACACACTCACATATAAACATACACATAGATAGAGACACACACTCTCTCACACACACACACATCCACATAGAGAGAAACACACACACACACATATATAGAGACAGACACACACTAACTCCAGCACAATCAGCAGCACACACATATATAGAGACACACACACACACAGACACACACTAACTCCAGCACAATCAGCAGCAAAACCATGTGACATCACCTTTCATAATGCGCAGGACTTACCTCAGTCTCGCTCTTTCTCACTTTCAGAGTCAGATTTCTCGTCAGGACCAGTCTCTTTCACCTGTGTCGTTACCACAGACTCTCTCTTTACCAAGTATCTGTGAAATTCCTCCTTACACTCTGAGCTCTGTACCCAAGTGCCTCTCCTCTCTCACTTTTTTCCTTTTAAAACATCTTGAAGGCACAACATGTAGAAAAAATCCCTTGGCGTTAGATCTGTAAGCTGCTTTAAGACCGTTACAAATACATGGGGAATACACTTACTGTAGATAATACTCTGAGTCAAAGAGGTGGATGATCCATCAGGCACCTGGGAGCCAAACAGACCATTTCAATGATTGTGTGACTGCATCTTGTATCAATGCTAATGCTAATTTACAAAACAGACAAATGCAATATACATATAATTCTGCATCATTTATACCATAACAAATGTATAAACCAGTGTTTGCATGTGCAGATTTCAGAGAGTTGGATTTAAATGATGAGAAAATGGAGGAATCCACAGTCCTGACAGAAACGGTCGAACACAAAAGTGTGTTCGACAAAGAAACGTATTGAATTCATCAGATCAGAAGATGTAAAATGTTTCCAGATTTGTTCCCTGGTTGAAAGGATAGAGTCCGATGAGATCACAGAGCAGCAGTGTGTGATCGGAGAGAGGACAGCGCCGTCTGCTGGACACACGCTGAATTACAACTAGTAAGACTAGACCGAGACAGATAACATTACTCACAGCGCCCCCCATGACGTCATCCTTCAACTCATTCTAATTACTCAAGATAAAGTACATTTGTGGTCTTCATAACTTTGATGTTTTTTTCCCCCATGTCATAATTTTTTAATGAAATCTCTCTCTCTATTACTATTACTTTTGACATGTGAGTAGTTCTACCTCATGCATCCATCTACAGTACCTTCTTCCCCTCAATCCATATCTGGGTCTGGGGCGGTCAGAGCTGCACCCCCTTCACAGAGCACCAGCCCCTCCCTGATCCTCCTGCAGGTGCTGAGTCCACAGGGGGGTGAAGTGTCTTGCCCAAGAGCACAACGGCAGCAGACATCAGTGGGAGTCGGTGGAGTAGCCAACCTAAGTTTCTCCAAGGGGCTGGTCCTGGACTGGTTCTGGTTCTCGACCTCCACAGAGGCTATTACGTTGTTGCTTATTATTACTACTGTTAGCATCTAAAACTGATCCATCTGTTTTGTTTGTGTAGATGGATGTGTTTTTGCTGCTACTGGACACCGTTAGCATTTGTAGCCTCTCAACAATAGCTGCTGTGTTTCATGTTATTTCAACCCTTTTTCTAATAGTATTTTATTTTACAGTTTTATTAATGAATATAAAGTTTAATCTTATTTGATTTTGAATGATTTTGCTGTTTTTCACTGGATTTGTTATAATTATGTTTTAGTCAAACAAATAACTCTCCTTGTTTTGCCATCCGTCCTGTAACTTGGCCTGTTATTTTCAGTGCAGCTCTATTTTCTGTCTTCATTGTCCTGGATTTTGTTGAATTAGAAGTGGAGAGGTTGAATTAGCTGTTTTCAAGCAAGTAGACAGATTACAAACAGACACACAGTACAAGAGCATCCAAAACTATACGCAGAGACTGAGGCGTGACTGAGGTGAGGTTAGTGTCAACATTTATACGTTTGCTATAAACCACTGTGGAAGTTTACAGGGAATAATGTGAAGTAGGTCTCGATGCTGAGGTTCTGAGGGTTATTGTGCTGTAAGTTCAAACATGTGTAATTCACTCATGTCAAAGTAACATGTTTATTAATATACTGTGTTGAATGAATGTTACGTCTGCAGTGGCCTCTGAGCAATGCAAAAAGTGATGAAAAATAAGTTAAAAGTTGCTCAAGTTTGGCAAAACGTATCTTAATTTGAGCACATTCTGACTGAGCCTTAAAACAAGATTTACCAACGGGACAAAGCAAAATTATCTTGTTCTTAAAAAGATAAAAGAAATGTCTCCCTTGGAATGAGAAAATAAGGCAACAGTTCTTGAAATCAGACTCAATGGCTTCGTCCCGTTGGAGAATCTTAATTTTGAGACAGTCAGAATGTTCTCAGATTAAGATAAAAACACTGGATTCAAGCAATCTACCTAACTCATATTTTATCATTTTTTGCATTGCAGGAATATTACACCGTGTCAGTTTGTTAGAGTTTCTTATCAGTCTCAAAATACTGCTTAAACAAATAGTATCAAAGTGAATACTTTTAAGACTGGGCGCTCCCTTAGAGAAAAGGAGAGGAGCTCAGTCACATGGGAGGATCTCGGAGTAGAGCCGCTGCTTCTCTACGTTGAGAGGAGCAGCCACATTAGTCCCGACCGGCCTCCTGCTGGGACTCTGAGGAGCACAGGGACTGGCCTCCTGCTGGGACTCTGAGGAGCACAGGGACTGGCCTCCTGCTGGGACTCTGAGGAGCACAGGGACTGGCCTCCTGCTGGGACTCTGAGGAGCACAGGGACTGGTCTCCTGCTGGGACTCTGAGGAGCACAGGGACTGGTCTCCTGCTGGGACTCTGAGGAGCACAGGGACTGGTCTCCTGCTGGTCCCAGAGTCAGGACTAAACATGGAGAGGCAGACTTTCAGATTTAACATTCTTCCTGAAAATGTGAGACAGGCTTTTAATTCCATGTTGACAGCTCTGTTTAGCAGTGGATAATTCAATTCAAATTAATACTTTATTTCGGACACAAGAATAAAAGGTCCATATTAGAAGACATACAACAACAACAAAAACAAAGACACATAAAACAAGTAAAAAGTTAAAAGATAAGTCATTTCCTATATAGGCTCTGAAGCCAGTGAGTCCATATACTGGAGAAATAACACACCGAGCTCAGACCTGGGTTGGTCAATACAGCAATGATGCTGTGGACAGAGTGGGACAGTCTGCACATGCACCTGTACATGAGATTGCGCAGTACAGCAGGACAAGTGGGCACACCTGCATCTACAAACATGGCACTGGCACTGCTCCATCGTGGGACCCTCAGCAGCATCCGCATGGGATCATTGTATGCCACAGATAGTTTTTACAGACTGCTCTTTTTATAGCACCTCCACAGGTGGGCCGTGTACATGGGAGTGCAATATGCCTTAAAGAGTCTTATCTTGACAGGTGGTGAGCACATACCAAACCTGCGGATCAACATGTTGGCCTGCCCATAGAGCATGCGACATTGTCTGTAGATGTCAGATCAAAACCAGATACAACTTTATCTGGTTTTGAACTCTTTGATTGTCCTCGTCTGAACTGTTCAATACTTTGCTGTAACTTTCCTTACATTGGTTTGTGTTTCCGGAATAAATGCTTCATACTTTTAGTTTTTCTTTGACCAGGCACATATCTAAAATGAGGAACTCGGCTCCAGACACGGACGCAGTGAGTGTCCAGCAGAGGGGGCTGTTTCTCACTATATCCTGCTTTCTTCGCTGTTGTCACGGAGCTGCACTTGAAAAGTTAATTTGCAAAAACAGAAATCTCTGCTTTGAAAATGTGACAAAAAGTTGGATTCCTCCAGCGACATTCTTCAACAAGTTTTATTATCACCAGTAAATTTGAGATTGAGATGTGTTGTAAAGCTCTAACATAGATCTGTCTGATAGATCTGATTTGTAAGCCTTAAATTGATATTTTTCTAATGGCACCTGTTTCTGTAAATGACTCTTCACTTCTCCTTCTGCTGCTGCCTCAGGGCGACTGCGGCTCCAAACCCATCACTGAAACAATGAAGAGCAGGAACAATGTGAGTCAGTTTAGAAGCAAAGATTTGTCGACTGAAGCTTTTAGGTGAATTATTATAGATTATAGACTCATTAGATTCACCATTATATTATAATATTTTATGAATGGTACAGGATCTGATGGACAAACCTACAGAAATACTAATGTTTAGAGAAGAAATGTTTTTAACTCCACAGGGTTTTGTTTTTCCCATGAGCTCTTCTACCTGCGTCCCATGTGGACCACATGTACCAGGTGGACCACATGTACCAGGTGAACCACACTCACCAGGTGGACCACACTCACCAGGTGAATCACACTCACCAGGTGAACCACACTCACCAGGTGGACCACACTCACCAGGTGAATCACACTCACCAGGTGAATCACACTCACCAGGTGGACCACACTCACCAGGTGGACCACACGCACCAGGTGGACCACACGCACCAGGTGGACCACACTCACCAGGTGGACCACACGCACCAGGTGGACCACACGCACCAGGTGGACCACACTCACCAGGTGGACCACATGTACCAGGTGGACCACACTCACCAGGTGGACCACACGCACCAGGTGGACCACACTCACCAGGTGGACCACACTCACCAGGTGGACCACATGCACTGGGTTGGTGCTCAGTGATTCTCAGCAAAACCTGCTGATGGATCTTGTGTGTTTTTAACTCTGCCATTTTGAACCTGTCGCTGAGGTTCGGCAACAAAAGTAATCTGATTACTGATCAATTAAGAAGTTAACTGTCTCCCCCAGCCCGACTCTTGGGCTGCACTCCCCTCTCCACATGGAGCCTCCTCAGACCTCCACCACACAGCCTCAGCATTAAGTCTGAGCCCTGGGTCTACAGCTTCAGTCCTGGGTCTACTGCTTCAGTCCTGGATCTACAGCCTCAGTCCTGGGTCTACAGCCTCAGTCCTGGGTCTACAGCCTCAGTCCTGGATCTACAGCCTCAGTCCTGGATCTACAGCTTCAGTCCTGGGTCTACAGCCTCAGTCTTGGATCTACAGCTTCAGTCCTGGATCTACAGCCTCAGTCCTGGATCTACAGCTTCAGTCCTGGATCTACAGCCTCAGTCCTGGATCTACAGCTTCAGTCCTGGATCTACAGCCTCAGTCCTGGATCTACAGCCTCAGTCCTGGGTCTACAGCCTCAGTCCTGGATCTACAGCCTCAGTCCTGGATCTACAGCCTCAGTCCTGGATCTACAGCCTCAGTCTTGGATCTGCAGCCTCAGTCCTGGATCTACAGCCTCAGTCCTGGATCTACAGCTTCAGTCCTGGGTCTACAGCCTCAGTCTTGGATCTACAGCTTCAGTCCTGGATCTACAGCCTCAGTCCTGGATCTACAGCCTCAGTCCTGGATCTACAGCCTCAGTCCTGGATCTACAGCCTCAGTCCTGGATCTACAGCTTCAGTCCTGGGTCTACAGCCTCAGTCTTGGATCTACAGCCTCAGTCCTGGATCTACAGCCTCAGTCCTGGATCTACAGCCTCAGTCCTGGATCTACAGCCTCAGTCCTGGATCTACAGCCTCAGTCCTGGATCTACAGCCTCAGTCCTGGATCTACAGCCTCAGTCCTGGATCTACAGCCTCAGTCCTGGATCTACAGCTTCAGTCCTGGGTCTACAACCTCAGTCTTGGATCTACAGCTTCAGTCCTGGATCTACAGCCTCAGTCCTGGATCTACAGCCTCAGTCCTGGATCTACAGCCTCAGTCCTGGGTCTACAGCCTCAGTCCTGGGTCTACAGCCTCAGTCCTGGGTCTACAGCCTCAGTCCTGGATCTACAGTCTGTCAGCAGGAGCGGATCCCTCTCTCATTATGGACTTTTTCTATTTCCATTTTTGTTGAGTGGTATCTTGTCGATGCAGGAGGGTCTAAGCACAGTGAATGACTTATGGACATTTATCAACACTTGTGGACATTGGTCGTCTTGCTCCCTATGGACCAATGGCTTCTATGTGTTTGTTATTATTGCATTTAATGTGTTTCAATTCTTTGGTCTTTTGTTGGCCACGAGATTGTTCAGCCTCTTTCATGTTTGGACTAAAGTTCCAGCCGGACTCGGAGCGACAATGCGTTGTTTTGAGTCCCTGAGGGTTTCTCGAGGGGGGGTCGAAGTCCAGTGGGATCTAGAACAGATATAGAGAGACGACATGGTTATGTTTGTGCAGCAGCAGTAGATTCTTTTGTTCTATCCACCTTACTTCTGTTGAAAAGACATTCCTGAGAGTTCACGGCCTTCCTCAAGAGACAGGACGGGAGATCCCATAATGCATCTGGCCTTTGAAGTCAAAACAAGTGAGAATCTGATTACCCCGCAGTCTACTGATAACTCCAGCGACTTCCATCACCTCCGCCACCTTCTCTGCTCCGTATAAAAGTGTTTTTCCGGTGTTGAAGTTGCTGTTTAAGCCTCGTAAAGGACACAAATGAAAAATGCCTGAGTGAAGTTCATCTGGGTTGAGTTTGCACACGCTAAAGATTTATCCTCTGACCCTGGACCTCCGCTAAAGGTCAAACATCTCGTCCTAAATCAGACATAACAAGCTCAGAAAGACTGGACTTTCTTCTACAGAGTAAAGCTACTTCACACTTCTCCAAGTCCAACATATTTTCTGGCTTTGAAAAACTCAGAAAATCATTGATCTAATGGTGTCTATATTGAAGTAGCAATATGCAGGCGTCAGAACTCACTGCATGGAGCTAGTCTCACTGGTAAAGTACCATGTGGCGCAGAACTAAAAAAGGTCTCGTTATGATTCTCAAATGATTCACGACAAAACAAGGAATAAAACCAGGATTTCTATCTTTGTGAAAAAGGTGTTGGTTATAGATTTGTTGTTGACAAAACTCTTGTCTATTCAGCTGTGATGGTTCCAGCTGGATTCGTCTGCATATCTGGCAACCTGAGTCTGGGAGAGTGGGGGAGGCTGCAGTACCACCTTTGGCCACATTTTTACATACTGCTCCTTTAATATAAAAAGATTCTTTATTTTTCCCACTGTGGGAGAAATGTCAGTGTTGCATTACAAGTTACAGAATAGGAGGAATGAGGAACAGACAGCAAAACAATGAACAATAACTAAAATAAAAATATATCTCTAACTTTATCCAAGTCAAGTATGAGCTATAGCTTAAAGCTTGGGTACCTAATTTTCAACCCACAACGTGATGAAAAACTTGTTCTTTGCTCTAAAAATAGTTTGAATCTTCTTCAGCCTCTGTCACATATTTATATCAGCTTTTTCAGACAGAAAAGTGAAAAATCACAAAAAACAGGACTGGCCTCACTCAGCCCAAAAAGTGAAATAGTGACTCACTATGGTTATGGTAGGACTATCGCTCAGTCCTGCACTGACCTGGTTCAGATCTATGCAGCTAAAAACTCGAACAGACTTCCTGAAAATGTGAGACAGACTTCGACTCTAACAATGTTCAAATCAACAAACAACTGAAGGATATCATCTGTACTATTTTATACTATTTTTACTGTGATTATCTAGGATTATACTGCCTTGTGTGGTTCTATCTATTTTTGTTATGCACTTTGAGATGTCTTGGGCCACTTAGCCAACTGTGCTATACAGATAAACTTGCCTTGCCTTCTGAACCCATTTGTAAAAACACCAAAGCAGCAGCAGCAGGAGTCTCCACAGTCTCAAAAGTGCCACATTCTTGTATTATTTACCCGGCGAGAGCGTTCTGGCCGTAAATCTGCCCCGGAAACACGAGTGGTTGGTTCTGTGGCCCGCAGCGATGTTGACACAAAACGTTACACAGGAGTTTAATTGAAAAAGCAGGAGCGAGACAAACACAAGATAAAAACGAGATGAAGCGGGTTTGATCAAAGAAAAGTGTGAGGATCTGGAGAGAGTTACGGAGAGGACAGGAAGAGGCCCTCAGCGTCACAGAACATGTGTTTCTGTTCAGGGCGTTGTGAAGAGGAGCCGTCTGTCCTGAGATCTGACAAACCCATGACTTTGTGTGTGTTTGTGTGTGTGAAGTCTATTTCTGTGTCTGGGATCAAGATTTACAGTGTAGTTTGTAATTGCAGTTGTTAAAACAAGTGTTTTTGGTTTAAAACTGTGGTAAAGACCTGCGTCAGTCATGGTTGAGACCTTGTTAGTTCAGACCTGGTTCAGACCTGCTTTAGACCGGCTTTAGACCTAGACTTTAAAGACCTTATGACGGGTTTGATTTATTTAGAAATACAGTTTTAATACCATTTTATATTAGAAGAGAACTACTAAAGGTTTCAAAATCAGTTGTTGTTTTTTTTGTCTGATCCCCCCAAATCGAAATAACCCCATAGCAACGCCCTTAGAAACAAAAAAACTTCACAGCCCTTGGTGACGTCAGAACGGGTACGTTTCAACGCTGTAAGTTGTTTACAATTTGGTATTCGTTCTTTTTTCGCGGATATTCAAGATGACAAGGCCGTGTACAGAGAGTATGAGATAACTACTAGAATGTAACATTTCGTTGTCACTGAGATAGTCCAGTGGTTGCGTCGATGGACTGCCAATCCAGAATCCTCTCTGCTCTGGTCTGGACCAGTGTAAAACCATGAATCCTCTCTGCTCTGGTCTGGACCAGTGTAAAACCATGAATCCTCTCTGCTCTGGTCTGGACCAGTGTAAAACCATGAATCCTGTCTGCTTTGGTCTGGACCAGTGTAAAACCATGAAGCCTCTCTGCTCTGGTCTGGACCAGTGTAAAACCATGAATCCTCTCTGCTCTGGTCTGGACCAGTGTAAAACCATGAAGCCTCTCTGCTCTGGTCTGGACCAGTGTAAAACCATGAATCCTGTCTGCTTTGGTCTGGACCAGTGTAAAACCATGAATCCTCTCTGCTTTGGTCTGGACCAGTGTAAAACCATGAATCCTCTCTGCTCTGGTCTGGACCAGTGTAAAACCATGAATCCTCTCTGCTCTGGTCTGGACCAGTGTAAAACCATGAAGCCTCTCTGCTCTGGTCTGGACCAGTGTAAAACCATGAACACTGAACTGCAGCAACATCTCAGGCAAAAAAAAGTAAGAAAAATTAAATGTATAAAGCACAAAAGAACAACTGTTTCAGAGACACTCAGGACCTGCTGCCGTTTTCTCGCACATTCAAAAGTAGTAAGAAAGATTAGGACGCTTTAAGACTTGACATGAAAATCTTACATACAATGACAATAAATGTCCTTAAACGTCCTGGATCATCAACTTTAGACCCTCCTCGTATGTAAGATCAGGATGAAGAAATCCTCTAATGTGCCACAGTGGGGAAATTTCAGTGTTGCACATCACAAGTTTGGAAGAGAAGGAATGAGGAGCACACAGCACGAAATAAATATATCAAATCTCTGACTTTAGCAAAATAAAGAAGCATGAAGGAAATCCTGGATATTCTAGTGCAAGTCCATAGTTGTATATAGACAGATAGATAGATAGATAGATACAGACAGTTAGATAGATCAATAGAGAGACAGACAGACAGACAGTTAGATAGATAGATAGATACAGTAGATAGACAGACAGTTAGATAGATACAGACAGACAGACAGACAGTTAGATAGATACAGACAGACAGACAGACAGTTAGATAGATACAGACAGACAGACAGACAGTTAGATAGATA